AACTTGAATGGAGCTTCCATCGCTCAGTGTTGAGCAGAGGAATTGAGAGCAGGTGCGGGACTTCTTCGAGGGAGTTCCAGCCTCGGCGAGAACTGACCCTCTCCTCTACCTCTCTGCATTTGGATCAGGGTTCTGAGGCTCCGGGTCCAACATCAGTCTGGGACGGGCACCTTGACGCCTAGGAAACGGGCAGGGTTTGGGGTGCTGCTGAAGCCCAGGCTCAGACTTAAGCTGGGGCTGAGGCGGCACTGGCTTGGCAGGTTGCTGAGTGGATGGAGCCTTCTGGCCATTGAAACAGCCGTCGCACTGGAGTGCTTTGGCAGGAAGTGACGCATTGCCTGCGATGACTTTTGTGCCGCTGTAAACTGCTCGGAAAACCCATCCACGGAAGGGCCAAACAGTCCTTTGGGAGAGACTGGCGAGTCTAGGAAGGCAACCTTGTCAGCACAGGCGGAGCGTGTGTAAGGCTGGGGAAGGCTTAGCTTTCCCCTGGCCATGGGGACTTGGGGCAAAAATGGCACTAAATTGGACAAAAATGCCCCTGCACAAATAAATTAAATCTATTACGTCTGTTGCTAACAAAGTGAATATGAATAGACTGTCGATTGCAGCATTAAATTAAGATCTGCTCATGTTGCACCGTATTTCATTTTAGGCGTTTTTACAGTGCTGCGTATTTTAACCAATCACACACAATTCTGTTGAGCTTAGGAATGCAATGGCCTATCAGAGGCATTCAACTGAGTCATCGTTGAAACAGATCAGTTTTGTTGACTCTTGTGAATTCTCTCATCATAAACAACAAAGCTCAGATGTATGTACAATGTAAGTAAGAAATTAATTTCACAGTGTATACAGCTTCAGTGATTATAACAATAGTTTTGTTTTTTTGAGAGTGTTTAAACTCACAATAGATCAATGTTAGTAATAATGTCACTTTCTGTATAGGCTATGATTTATTCGCTGTTTGAATAACCGTGGAAAGGAAACGTTATATAATTATCAATTTCTAACGTTTTTATTAAAATGTAATCATGTTAAATACAAATTTAGTCCCATTAAACATTTTTTTTAGCCTACATGACACCCATGTCTGTCTAAAAAGACGGGTTTATGATGTTTAATACATTTGGCTGCTTTTAGCCTTACCCTGGAGTTGGTTCACCCTCTGCCTATGCTTGTCAGCGAATGTCAATAAGCCCTGTTCGCTAAGGCTGAGGTAGTCCTGCAGGGCTTAGATGGATGCGCTGCATCGGCTTTTAACCCCAAGGCCGATGGAGGACACAAATGCACAAATGCTTCTTGCTTGCAGAGTCAGCGAAGAGATGATCTTCATCGCTGAAGGAGAAAATTCTGACGAAATGGCACTCAGAGCCGACTTATATAGCAGTCGGCTCCACTCCATTTGGTGGGTTGAAGTGGCATTGATTCATGCAGCTACACGAACATGATCAAATCAGGCTTCAGTATCAGAGTAAACAGGAGTTTCCCCATAGCATGATTAACACAAGGGAGAGACCGGGGAGAGACCGTTCAAAAAGGAACAGATTTTTACATTTTTACAGTCTTTTACCATTAAAATTACAATCATCTTTGACACCATTGTGTCTGTTGAAGAATGTTGTATAGACATTTACATTTTTATAAGGCAAATGAAGAAATGAAGACCCGCACTTGAAGAATAATAAATAATGAATAAAAGCTCTATTGTTTTTTCTCTTTTCCTCTTCAAACACACACACAAAATGGAGCTTAACTTGTATGTGAAACACCATTTAAGGATGTGTAATTTCATGTCGAATCTGCATAGCTTAGGGATACAAAAAGGACAGAAAGCAAGAACTTCATTCTCCTTTACACAAAGTTTAATTTAATTTAAATATTTTGTCCATGATGTCACACCTCTGAAAACTGTTATCCACACAATTAAACAACATACCAAGAAACAGTGTGCAAATGTGTAAAACCTTCAGGATCCAAGCTCTGCAGAGACTGTCTCGCTACAGCAGATGTTTAATAGCCAACTTAATATCCCATCTATTGTTGAATGCTGGTTTATTTGCACATGCCATTTTGTCTGGAAAGATTATGTAAACCAGTCAGGGATTGTCGTTTTAGGCCTCCCAGTGGTACTGATTGTGCTGAGCATAACAGCATGAATGATATCGTTAGGAGTCCACACATCTACCTCTGAATAATGCCCTACTCCCTACTGCTGCAAGTCATGAATCACTAAGGTTTTTTGGAGAGGTTTCATGCTTTGGTGTGGTACTTCATTAATATTTCCAAAAATGTATCAAATTTTGAACTGATTTTAAAAGCACTGTCAGATTACAGCATTAGTTGAGGATTAACCCTGATATTCCTTCTTTTGGAAGTATCACTACAAAAAGACTTATGATTTTAAACTACTAGATACTCAAGTCAGTTCTTATGTACGATTAGAAAAGCTCTGTTTTTAACCATGACAAACACGCTGTGTTACTGTCACTGTAGTTTTACAGGGTTCTGATTGGCTGGAAAGAGCTGAACACCCTCTCATATTTTGGATCTAGGTGGCAGGATCACATGATAAGTTTACAACCAGCACTTGAAGACATGTTATCTTGAGTCAGAGGACACACATCTTCCCTTCTCTCTATGTTGAACAAAAGTTTGTCTAGATTCTCAGCTTCCCAATTTTCTCAGACTGGGTCAATCAGACTTTGCTTGAGGCTAGAGCTTACCCGTGATATCTACAGCACAAACCACAAATACGCTCCAAGAATGGTGGCGGAACCACACAGTGTTCATTCTCCTCAAACCGCAGACAGGAAAAACGCTCTATAAGTACAGCACTGTCTGTGCATCATCTAACAATAATATCTTCATGACAAGGATCCTTAGTGATTATCTCATATCTTCATGCCTGCTTATACCCAGGAATTTGGTATTACTAACAATTTGACAAGCTATTTTTCTGAAAATATTACAATATGTATTACATCCATTTCCAGTTACACTGAAAAATATAAAAGTATTTTTACAAAATATTTTTTTATTTACAAATAGCCCTAAATGTCACAAACAAACAAACAAACAAACAAACTCTTTGTACTTTAAATTACTTCGATGGAATGGATTTATTGGCCTCAAAATACAGTCAACTATGCCAAATAAGAGTTTAACGATTTGTTAACTGTGTGTTTTAGCCTGTCCTATGTATATTACTGTCTCTTCAAATGTGATTACAGAAGACAATAAACATTTTATATATGTAAATAGAGCTCTTGAATAATAAAAATATTATTTGTTTATATTTTATTATACTACGTTTAATAAAAAAGCAGTTAAAGCTAGACTGTAGATAAAATGTAGTCCTTTTTGTGTGTGTGTGTGTGATTTGTTTGCTTATTTGTTTTGCTTTAAAAGTAGAGGCATTTCTAATAACAATCTGGATGCATTCTAATTTCCCGATGATCTGAATGGTTTGGATGTTACCACTGTTTTCATAGAATTAATCACAGTGTAATTGTTTAAATAGCAGTTGTAACCAAATATAAGCTACGTTTTTAAAGGTCCTGTGCAGACAAATACAAATACAAGATCCAAATACAAGATATAGTATTTCATTAATTGTTTATTCAACTATTTGTATTAACTGTTGGCAGAACAGCTAATTAATAATTTAATTTCAACTGTCTTAAATTGTCGTAATAAACAGTTCAGACTACATGGTAAAAATATCGAAATGGTAAAAAATATCAAATATGTTAAATGAAGGAAACAAATAATTGAATGAATCTTATAGGATTTTTCTGACGCCAATAACAAAACCTGCCTTAGGCTACCTACTATATGCGTTGATGATACATACATTCGGTGTCAATTTTCACTGGCCTGCGGTCAACACATCCTAAATAGCCCATGCGTGATTTACAACCACAAAGATGGATTTTCATGCCACTGCTTGTATATAAAAAAAGGATGATAATCTGACTTTTAGCCACTGTATGCATTTCGTAACATCTGTAGCCTAGTCTTTTCATGACTTCTGCTTTGATTGTTTATGAGACCACCGGACGAATTTAATTTTCGGCAACGTCTGAGTGACCGTAAAAATGATGTGACAAATAACAGGCAAGAATGAGTGTGGATTTGGATAATTGCAGCCTTCCGAAAGTGCTTGAATTGTTTGTAGCCTAATGGTCCGATAAATCACTCACGAGGCACGAGGCAAAGTCTATTTTATAATATAAGCTACGTGACTGAATAAATTAATCAGGCCTAATTATGTTTAACATTTATTTAGTGAATTTACGCTTCCTCGTTTGCAGGCCATTGCATTAAACAGAAAAGTTGTATTTCTTAAATCCTAGACACAAAACACACAATTGTGATCTAAATAATAAAAACATATATATTTATTCGATTTAATAAACACAACGATGTCATGTAGAAAAATACTAGACAGTTTTGCGATTATGTCAATTACAGGGAATTAGATTTTTTTTTTTAGATTTTTCGGACAGCCTACTTTTAAAAAGTATTAGCCTACGTTTTTTTTTCTTACTAGATCATTCTCAGCCTATTACACAAAGTAAAAATATTCTAAACATTTTCAAATTAACTCTCACTATCTCCTTATAATTAAAAAGTTTTTAAAAACGTAAAAAAACAAAAAAAAACAAAAAAAAGTTGTGTCTTCAGCACCACTTTGATTTTAATAAAAAATGTAAGGCACGTAAAACGTCTTTTTTTTTTTAGCGGGGTTAACAGTGCATATGAACTATGGAACAAATGTGCGAACAAATTAACGTTTATACTACTCAGATTGTCAAAGGCCTTCTTTTACCCTCAACCAGGAGATGCTCTGATACGGAAGAATTAGCCTATCAAATTGCACTGACATGCTAAGCATCAGGTGGAAATTTAACCAAATTGTATGTGATTCTGTATGTGATCTGAAGATATACTGATAAATGAACGCACAAACCACATCTACTGTAGATGTCACTCACCATAGCATGAGATGAGCTCGCCGTCCTCCAGTTTGTCGTCTTCAGGAGGAGTTTTGCATGTGGGTCTCTGCATGAAAACATGGTACTTGTAGGCGCTCTCGGGTGTGCTATCATCCAGTGACGGACACTCTTGGTGGAAAGGACTCCGCGGCTTGTCCCCGTAAGGTTGACCTTTGGCGGGCAGGAAAGTGGGATTGTATTTGGAGTCGCTCGGCTGGAACGTCCTGTAAGGACTGGCCTGTTGGACTCTTCCTTGCCCTGATGATGGCGAATAATATGAATCCATGGAGGTCATATCGCAGTACGAGACGCACGTATCTGCGTTCATGCCGACAAAAAAAAAACAGGCAAAATATCCTAGCTTTTTTTGTAAATCTAAACGTCACCCTCGCTCGAGTCTCCTCTCATTCACAGACGGCCATGCACTTTCTCACACACCCACACCAGGGCGACAGCTGGAGTTGGTTAAAATTATTCAGATGTTTTCCAGAGACTAGGCAAAAGCAAATGCTAGAAAGCGTCTTTAAGGTTTGGAGGAGAGAGAGAGTGAATTCTGGACGGAGGATGTTGTCCTGGTGTCTGCTAGAGTCAGTGGTCCCGTCATGATAAGACGTCAGACCGTTGAGCGAAGGAGCTTTTTCCTCTTACTAACACGTGAGAAACACAACGCATGACAGTAATACAATTAGGGACTTGACTGACAAGAGTATTACGGATAAATGGATCAAGTAAATGTCATACACAAACATTTTACACGAAAATATTTGGGGGGAAAAAAATCCAATATTACTCAAAATGCTTTAGTAGGGTATTGTAATGTAGAATATTTGAAGAAGAAAAAAAAGATTATTAGGCCTATAAGGATAAAAAAAATTTTTGTTTAAAAAAAAAAACATTTTTAATATTTTGCAATTATACAAGTTTACTATTTCATTTAAATGAGTGTTAATACTAAATAAGTTAAAAGGGTGAAATCATACATGATGACCACCTTTGAGGTCACTTAAGTTGTAAGACTGTAAAAAATATAGAATTTTCTCGCTTTTTGCATTAATGTATTTGTATGTTTTAATAAATGTAACATTTTTTTCTGTATTTTTATATGTTTTAATATCACAAGCGCCCAACTTACTGAAAGTAACAGCATGCAGCTCTGACGGCTTGAACTGACTAATAGCATCCATCTGCATCTCCCCAACACAATGTGCTCAGCAGCTCTAAGAATAGAGTCATGTTTTTGTTTGTTTGTTTGTTTTTGATGTATATTTATGTGGTTGCAGATCATTTTAAGTAATGAGTGATATATGTGACAAGTTTTTTCCTCTAATGAAGTGGCATAATTTAGAAAAAGGAAGCCATAATATATGAGACCATTATTCCTGAATTGAACCTGATTTTTGCATTGCTTGTGCAATGCATTAGTTGAGCTACAAGAACAAGTGTATTTTAAACGAAAATGTGCACTAATATTCATTACTTTCAGCAATATTTATCCTATACATTTAGTTTGTAAGTCTGTAATTTTTGGACTTTATTCAAATTATACCATACAAGTGCACAAACATTGTCAGAACAACAGCAACAACACATTTAACCATTACAATATATTATATTGTATTCACATGCATTCTGGAAAATGTCTTTTCTAATCAGTTTATGATGCGTATCTTTTGCTAAACTTATTTGACAGTTTCTGAAAGGCAAAGCAAGTCCCAAGACCATTTATTATAATAGAGTAAGATCTTTTTGATTTGCTGGGTTTTTCTGTAAAATTACACAACATAAAATATGTGTACATTGTTATGTCATTAAGTCTTCTCCAATTAGAAAATGATTTGCAAGGAGAGAAGCCTATAAGTTAGGGCTCACAGTCTGAGTATCCATCAACAAAAGTTTGTTCTGTCTATCTAATTGCATATTTGACCTTCCTGTCAAGTTCAAAAATCAACAGGGGGAATAAAAAAAAAGACCAGATCAGATTTGGACCTGTATACCTTGAAGCCTGGCTAGCTTATATAGCCCTGAAGGATAATTACAGGAATGCTGGGATTGAGAATTTGATTGACAAAAAACTACCCCTCAATTCAGTGTTCATATCACAAATGGCAGCACCGCCACATCTCTCAGTATTCCCCTGTCATGTTTTTGAAAGGATGGATATAAGGGTGACTTCTCTCTTTATTCTCTCAGTCTTTACTCCTTTCATTTACACCTCCTCAACACAATAAATAGATGCTATTCAAATGGAAAGTCTTTGCTTTACAATGACTTTGCAAAGTGTCCTCAATTAATATTTCCATATAAAATCAATAAAGTGATCCTCATGTATTATGCTGAAAACAAAAGGCCACATTACAAAATACATGAAGCTAATCTTGTCTAGGAGTGGAGGTGTCTGAGAGGGAGTCTCATAGAGATCTGTAATTGAATTCACATGAGATGGGTAGGGACACTGTCATCTGATGAGCAGATTGAATTAGGACCAGTAGTTCTACTGATCTCTAATTGAATAAGAGCACCAAAAGAGACTAAATGTGCATTTTCTAAATGTTGATGCTCCCTCCAAACATCTCACCACAAACACTTTTTGTGTAGTCGTGTATAGGAGAATCTAGTATTTCTTTGAGCACTCATTTAATTTTAAAGTTACTTTTAAATGTAAAGGTTTTAATACTAGCACAGGAGTAATTATGATTCGGCTAGCTACTGTATAATAAAAGCAAAGAGCAAAGCTATTTATAATTTAACACCAAAATAAGAAAAAGAAAAAGAAAAAAAATATATATATATATATTATCTTTCCTTAATTTCATTATAAAGTGAAAATTCTTTAATAATGAATTATTTGACACTGCCTTGTTTGACCTAAATATAAATTAATTTGGTCTCAAATTCTCAAAAGGATGAGTGTTTCAAAATGTTATTAATAATAATAAAAGGCATACTGATATGGTTATATCGTCCATTTCAATTCAACCCAACATTTATGTTTACTAAAGGAATAGTTCACCAAAAAATTGCTGAAAATACTCACCCTCTGGCCTTTATTATTAGCACTGTTATGAATTATAGACTGGTATTTTGTCTAGAAGTGACGGTTTAAAGTTAAAATGCCTTAATGACAAACATGCAACTTTTTACTACATAAGACGTTAACTGATGGACTGGAGTCGTGTTGATTACTTGTGGATTACTGTGATTATATCAGCTGTTTGGACTCTCATTCTGACGGCACCCATTCACTGCGGAGGATCCATTGGTGAGCAAGACATGTGATGCTAAAGTTCTCCAAATCTGTTTTGATGAAGAAACAAACAAATCTACATAGTGGATGGCCTGAGGGTGAGTAAAGTGTCAGCAAATTTTCAGTTTTGGGTAAATTGTCCTTTTGCCATTTACGCTTAGGCCATTTCACCACAGACCAAGCACTGAACACAAACTAACCACAACAGATGATCAAAAAAAGTATATGATGAACTGTAATTAGATTGCATACACTGTGCGGTTTGCTTTGGCTTTAGAGATCACAGAATGATGGAGATCTGAATTAGTAAGACAAGAGAAGAAATATGGAATCAAGCATAGTGCTGACTGGGTCTGTCAGCAAGAATCGGTTAGTTAACTTTATCTCCAGGCTGAAGTGGACGTGATGATACCATGATGTGTGTTTCCAGAGAACCCCTGATTGCTGTCTCTAGATCGGCCTCGGTCTTTTTTTAAGAGATTCCTCAGTGGAATCTCTATTCAAGTTATGTGTGTATTAGGTTTCAGCTGGGTTAAAAGTGGAATATAATAATTCTGAAAACAAACTAAGAATGGGATTTAAGATGAGTTTGACAGAGGCTTGGCTACCTGATATTTCTCCCCAGCAACAAATCTATAAAAGTGCAGAGGTTTAGCTCAATTTTCTGCTTTCTAAAAGTGATTCTGAATCCACCCTGATCAAAAACAGACTTTTGAATCATTTTATTGCTGCAGTTAATTGAATAAGGTATTCTACTGTATTACATGTCTTAAGAGCTGTTAAGTTGCATGAAAAACAAATATCCCTCATCTGACATAAATCTCTGGTGATGGATACAATTCATTACAATCATAGTGAGAACACTGGACAACAGGAAGATCATTTTCAAGAAATAAAATCAGAATCTTCTAATATACATTTGCACAACTTGAGGCCTGAAAGTACTAATTTTAATTCTCAAACTCTCTAGACTGAATCTTCTAAGTTACTTGTGTATTAAATCAACTGAAAGTGTGTTTCTTACATTTTTGCCCATGTCAAATAGATATAGTGCAACAGCAAGCACTGACTTTCCCATTCCAATTCCCATTTCCTTCATAAAAATGTACTGCAACAAAGAAGTTTAAAAATTAAACATTGAACCAAACCAGATCAGTACCAAAATTAATCAAATTTAAACATTTTATATTTAAAGCAAAGGTACGTGCAAATTTAACACACATAAAACAATTAAACGATTATATACTTTACATGTTATAATAAAAATTGACTACATAAAATATAATATTATTGAGGGTTCCCTAAAATCCCATTGAAGGGTTCCTTAAAATCCTGTAAACATTCCTATAGCAGTTTTACAAATTCAACATTTCAAACACCAGTGCAGTATTTTTGGTTTGTTCTTTTGAATGTCGTTTGACTCTTTTGATAGAAGGTCCATTTTATGCACTGTTTCTCACAGCACTTCTACAGGTGCTTCTGCAGCACTGAACGCTGGGTCTGAGGTCATGCTGAAGCAGGAACAGAGGACCTTCTCAACCAGTAATTATCTGGAATGTCCTGCAGAGACAAGACTGAGGCCCTTTCATACTCTAATGAAAGTCATACTCCCTGTCTTAACATGGAAAGTGCTATGTCTCAATCTGAGTATTCGAGAGGGTAAGACAGAGGGGCTGACACACAGGGTCCAACCCATCTCTCACTATTAATCAGCACTGGTATGAAAAATTGTCACTTTATTAATGAATTAATATCATTAGATAATGTCCAGTAATTTATATATACATTTAATGATTTAATGTTTATATATATATACATTTTTTTCACAGAATGATTATTAATACAAAGAACAATTTTGTTCAATGGCTCGCAACACCACATGACTCAGGTTTTTAGGTACTGGTTAAAGCTAAGTGTTGAAGACAAAAAGGCCCTCTCATCCACTTTTTCACTTTACGCCTTAGGCTCATTGCTTATTGAATTACAGCTAATATTTCAATTGATATCACATGGAGCAAAAACGTATTTCAGTCACCCTCTGGCTCTGAAATGCCTTCTGTTCGGTTTAAATTATAAGAATGAACCTTAGTCTTGATTCCCAACTGTTCTGCTGTCAGTCTCATACTTGATTTTATAGAAGAGTGACTGGTTTATTGTATATTAGGGAATGTCAATAATGTAATTATCATATATAATTATAAGAGCTGTAATTGAGCTAGAGACTTTTACTGTC